ATCTGACAATCATCTGGGACACATTTCGACCATCATACACCATCTGACAACCATCTGACAACCATCTGACACACTTCAACCATCATACACCACCGTACACCATCTTCACCATCAGATGCCTGTATTGGACATTACTCCATTCAGGGGGGGGGCTTTTGTCGAGGCATGAAACAAACTCTTGTCCAATTTTTAGAATGGAGAGGTGAAGAAAGCATTAACCACTGTCGAGAAAGAGAAAAAGGTGCGTCTCAATCTCAAGACTTTTTTTTATTGTAAACTTAGCAAAAAATTAGGCACGTTGTTAAGCAAGAAAATGTTTTTGTAGGACGTTGAAAAAACGTTAGTTAAAGTTCAGGACGAAGCCGATGATACAGTAAGAATTTTAAGATGATTATTTTGGTCTTGGTTCTTCATATAAGTCATTTGTTTATATTTCACCCATGATGACTTACAAGCTATATGTTCTTACTATCTCTTAGTCAGAGAAACTCCTCGAGTCCTATCAAACTGCTGAAGCGACGAAAGAAGCTTTAATGGTAAAGTTAGTGTACCACACAGTGAGATTAATATTTATATATATCTGAAGTAAGAAGTAACTTCATTCAGCCTATATGAGAAGAGTGACGAAAACTGACGTACAATGCTTATTATGAAGGTGGAAAGTTGAGTCACATGTGCTACCTAACTTGATTAGCTTTTATATAGTTATTATAGGTAGCCTTTACTCTAATTTCTGTATTTCTAATTGTTGTTTTTTGTTGGGTTTTTTTCTTCAAATTCGCACTATCTATCTATCTATGTGCTTACTGTGTACTCACAGGCGGCCGAGGAGACGATAGCTGAGCTGAAGAGAGATTCTGATGAAAAACAAGCAGAGATGGGCAACTTACTAACGGAGGCAACCCAGGCTCATCAAGAAACAGAGGAACAGAGAAAGGTGGGTAAAGGGCAGGCTGTGGGACGGCGTGGGTCAGGTGGTGGCAAGTGGGGGGCGGGGGGGGGGGGGGGGGGGGGGGGGGGGGGGGGGGGGGGGGTGACATGATGCAACGAATTGCAATCTACTTCAACTGTTTTTCATATCATAATTTTCTTTTAGTTTGCGGAAGAGAAGTTCTCAGGAGTTGAAAAGACTTTGAACGATAAGGTATGAGATGAATTCGACTATAAAATGTTGACTTCTTTATATAACTGGATTGATAGTCCTAGCTGAGCCCATAATATAACTTGATAATATAACTTTATTATATAATAATATAACTTTATATATTCGCAATTATATGTGACACCACGAATTTCAAATAGGTTGGTCTGCTGGCGCCACTGAGCTATACTATATTACACTGGCGCCTTCTAGTTTCTTATCCATTTTTTAACTCTCCATGCTGAGCCTGTGCAATTTTTCTCGTTTGCGTAAATATAATTGTTTGTTTTGTTGAGAGCACCACGTTTATTTATTTTGAAAGTTCAGTATTAAAAGACGATGGTGTCTTATGATATTATTTCCACTGGTAAAGATCCGAATTTTACGTTCGAAAGTTTTGCCAAATACAACACAATTTTTATAAAATCTTGTGCATCCCAAACCAGGTTTGTGACTTAGAAACAAAACTCTCGGAGATGAATAAGATGAAAAATGAGGAAGAAAGCTCAAGAAAAAATGCCGAGGAAATTATTGAAAAATTAAAACAAGAATCAAAAGATAAGGTGTGTATATTCTCTTACATTACCCACCTTGGAAAGCTGTAATGTTTAGATCCTAAACTTCATAGAGCTCGGTTTTCGGTTAGACAAGATGAATATTTTATCAACTGAGCTCTATGCTTGTTGCGCAGTATAGCCGGTGTCATGTTTGGAATTTATAATTGATATCGAGCTTTTTGGGCTAATATAGTAGATGGGGTTTTATTTGTAGATGCAGGGATGGATTTACTAGAAGGGTCGCATCCCCCCTAGCCCTGGTCAGAGGGGGTGCAGACGGTGCTATTTTTCATGATAAAGCAAAAAAATATTAGAGACAAAATGAGATACAGTAATTTGAGTAATAACATGATGATAAGAAAACTGTGAACAACAATTACAATTCAAATACAGTAGTGAAGCAAGACTTTGCAGTGGTGAAGCAAGTTGATGGGCACCAGAGCTGTCAGAGCACCCCCCCCCCTACCAGATCATGCTGGATCCATCCCTATATGGAACGCAAATTTGTATTACACTTTCAGACCTAACATTCTTATTATTAACAGCAAGAGGAACTGAATGGTTTATTGGTTGGAAAAACTCAAGCATATGACGATACGGATAAGAAACTTAAGGTGCGTTTAGTGCACTGTGAATTTTTGACACAAAATAATTCTCTGTTAATGTAAGATAATTGAAATTATAACTACAGCAGTTTATATTCCTTACGTGTACCATCGAGCATGCTGTTTCTTTCAGGTGGCTGAACAGAGATGCTCAGAACTGGAAGAAACGCTGAATCAAAAAGTAGGTGCATTACTATTTTTGTAGATGCCGTCCCGAGATTTTCTATTTCTCAGTTGTCCAGGGATGAATTTACTGGGGGTGGGGGTACAGACGGTGCGTATACCCCTCCCTAGCCATGACAAAGGGGGTGCAAGGGGTGTTCTAATTTCCCGATCAAATGCATTTCTTTTATTTGGAAAGCCAATATTTTACTACCTTTACCATCAACTAGGCCCCTGAAGTTTGCCAGGGCTTTTAATTATGTATATTTGCCACATCGTACAAGACAAGATAGAAAACTTTATTTATACACGCTGACCTCGTCAACCGAAGCTGATTTCCACGAAGGACGTGCGCAAAAAAATACAAATGTTACAATTTAAAAGTGCTATTATTAAGAGCTATGTACAAAAATACTTATGTTTTAAAAGATGGAATATTAAATTATTTACATAATATTAACGTTGTTAGACTATTTACTGGTAATCAATTTACATTGTTCTCATTTATGTGAACAGCGATTTTATTTTGAAAGGAAGAAAGAGATCTGCTCTCCCTAATGAAAATAATTTACATCGTTGTCTCACTGTGGTGACTATCGTTTGACCAGTATCTGCTGCGCGATAGTGCTTCCTCGTGAAACCTAACCAACACGCATGTACGATGTTTTCACTACAGGTGGTTGACTTGGAAAGCAAACTGGATGAAATTGCAAGAATAAAAGTGGAAGCAGAGAAGTCGCGAAGGCAGGCTGAGGAAAGAGTGGAAAATGTCACAAAGGAATCGATTGAAAAGGTTTGAATTCGATGTTTCGAGTGAAAGCCCTACGTCAAGTGTGTGACTACAGTAACTATACTCCTGACGAACGAACTTCCCTCGAAGTGTTTTAATCTTTTTGAGCATTTCAGGTAGTTCAAACACGAACGACGACCCTACCCCACCCCACCCCACCCCACCCCACCCCCACGTTTATGAGAAGCTTACTTTTTGTTGGTTTTTCCAGCTCGAAAACGAGAAAACCCAAAGAGACAACGAAGAACTACAAAACAATCAGCGTTTACTGGGTGAGTGAAAAAATATAATAATGTGAATGCTATTATACATCAGAGTATAATATACCCAGCTCTGGTCGAATATATACTGAGAAATCTTTCTGTGTTTAGTAATGGCTGTTGAAGAATCAGAAAAGATTGTTCAAAATACTTTGAATGAGTTTGAGAACCCCAAGAACTGTGGCACAACATGTACTGCAGGTAATGTGATGGAAATTACTGAACGAGAAAGAATTAGACATTGGTAGCGCAACAGGGTATACACGAAGATTTACTATATTTTTTACTACGTGTAATTTTTATTTAGAATACTTGGTTGAACGAATGTCAGACTTGTTGCCGTCACTGGATAGAACTGTCGAAGGATATAATTCCTATCTACACGACAAGAAAGGTGAGGTGGAAATAATTGATTTGTAAGCGGCAGCAGATGATTGTCAAAAATGTTCTCACTTATTGGAGTGAGAAAATGAAACTACATCTGCATGTCAATTCTATTCATTTGTTTCCAAACACAAGACTACTACATACAGTATAATAAAAATATCATTTTCTCACCCTAGATGTCGGTGTTTTTATTTCGTCTGTCAGTCCATACGCTCATCTGCTTAGTGAGTGTATTCTGTTGGGGAAGGCAACATCACATATGGCGCCCAAGGAGGATGCTGAAGGTAATGGTGGTGATGATGGTGGTGGCTATGGTGATGTTGATGATATTGATGGCGGTGATAATAAATATGTGATGATGGTGGTGATGATGATATGATGATGATATGATGATGGTGATAGTGATGATGGTGATAGTGATGGTGGTGATAGTGATGATGGTGATAGTGATGATGGTGATGGTGATAGTGATGATGGTGATAGTGATGATGGTGATAGTGATGATGGTGATAGTGATGATGGTGATAGTGATGATGGTGATAGTGATGATGGTGATAGTGATGATGGTGATAGTGATGATGGTGATGATAGTGGTGATGATATGATGATAGTGATGATGGTGATAGTGATGGTGGTGATAGTGATGATGGTGATAGTGATGATGGTGATAGTGGTGATGATGATATGATGATAGTGATGATGGTGATAGTGATGGTGGTGATAGTGATGATGGTGATAGTGATGATGGTGATAGTGATGATGGTGATAATGATGATGGTGATGATGGTGGTGGTGATGATATGGTGATAGTGATCATGGTGATGATATGATGATAGTGATGATGGTGATAGTGATGGTGGTGATAGTGATGATGGTGATAGTGATGATGGTGATAGTGATGAAGGTGATAATGTTGGTGTTGATGATTATGGTGGTAGTGCAGATGATAGTTGTGAAGATGGTGTTGATTGAGTAAGGTGACTTGTGTCACAGTCTAATGATTATCGACTAAATTTAAACTTGCCTAAATCATGTTTGAAACTTGCTAAGATGTGATTACGATTGTCATTTAGCCCTTGTAGAACATTGCAAGGACGGTGGAAAAACAACGTTGGAATTACTGCAGACTATGAAAGACGCTGGTGCAGGTTAGACATTTATTTGTTGACTGCAAACTGATTATCTTTTCAAGAACTGATCATACTGCACCTTTACTATGCACTGAAAAAACTAATGCAGTCACACTGACTCAGTTCAAATATACTCAATGGTTTGAGTCAAGATTTGCTTTACTCAAAAAATGATTAAATTTGCACATAATTTTCAGTAATTTTACTCAGAATTTTGAGTGACTTTGGGGGCATTATCTTACTCAAAATTTTTTACAGTGATATTATTTTAATTTTTATCGTGCATCGATATCGTTTTAGATTCAAGTAAACTGCAGAGTCAAGTTGAAGAAGTGAAGAAATCAATTCAAAGTATTTTGGACATCGGCAATGTAAGTTTGATCATTCATTATTGCGAAGCTACGTAGCGTGCAAATAAATATATCCTCTGGGAGCCTACTTGAGATTTCGTGCTTTGTTTTGTGAATTAGGGTTTAATACCGAAAGAAGACGAAAGCTTGGACAGCATTGAGAATGCCGTGGAAGATGAAATTAGCTCAACTGCTGAGGTACTGTAAGATCTTTACTTATGCATGATCAACACTGAAATATTTAATTAGGTATATAAAGCCAACACCCAGTATTAAGGAATAAAGTATTAAGTATTAAGCATCGTCAAGCGCCGTAAGCCGTAAGGAAACGGGTTTAACAAGCAAAAGCAAGTAAGCAAGTAAACCAAAGGCATATTCCCGCACATTGGAATTTTACAAGTTTTGAATATGAGGTGAATATTGTGATGCCTGACCACGGTGGGAATCGAACCTACGACCTTTGGAATACTAGCCCAATGCTCTACCAACTGAGCTACGCGGTCTGGTCGGTTCGAGTATGTGATATTTCGGAACAGAATCTAGTTCCTTCGATATCAATGTTATCTAATAATAATCATGATTTTTCTGTGTTGATGTACAAGTTTTGTTGAAGATGGTGAAAATGTAAAGCAATAAAGGTCAAGGTTTTAAGCGTTCGAACTCTGTTTCGTACATCAGGCATGTCTGTAGATTTCACTTTTGTGGAGGTAGCCAAACTTCGAATGGAGCTTAGTCAATGCCATTAATTCCAGGTTTAATTTAAGTTACTGGCGGCACATGACTTTAGCAGTTGTTAGCTATAGTAACTCTAGGTTTACAGAGAAAGTTAGCTCCATCATGTCTTCACGTGACATTTGTAGCTGGCCTGCATGTAACTGCTAAATTCCTAATTCAACCAAGTTTGATCTTTTGAAGTTAGCCCCTTGGAAGGAGCGACCCTGAAAGGATTCCATAGCCTCTGCAGGCGTGAGACCCAGTTCTTATTTTGTTGACAAAAATTGTCTACATTTTCTTGTAGCTTGTTGCCGAAGCCGTGACTAGAATCGAGGTTGGTAATAAATGGCTTTGTAGAAGCTGCATATGTTTTCAACTCGACTTGACGAGAAGAAATAGCTGCTGTAACAGCATTGTAAATCAGTCCATTCTCCGTTTTAGGAAATGTTAAAGAACGCACGACAAGCAGATACTGGTGTGAAATTGGAAGTAAATGAAAGGTACGAGGGTGTATTGTATATGATTGTAGTCGCTCTAAGCTCAGGGCCGCCGAGGCGCAGGGGGATTTTTGGCCTTGGCTCCTGTGGGAACGTTTGGCCCCTGGCCCCGCCAACCTTCCGACGACTCTGTCTGAGTCACTCCAGTGCAGTAATTAATTTTCTCAACTTTACTCTAGGATTTTGGATTCGTGTAATGCTCTTATGAAGGCAATTCGTGTTCTTATCTTAAAGTCCAAAGATTTGCAAGGAGAGATTGTCGAGGAAGGAATGGTAAAGAACTTAATGTTGGAGTCATATCTCTACCTTATTGTTTCTTTAGTAGCCTGATTTATGCCAGATCATTTCAGAGTTGCCAAAAGTGTTGAACATTTCGAAAAACGTTGGAAAAAAGTTTGAAGTTGAAAATTTTTCTTTTCAACTTTTTTCACAATGACATTTTCGGAAATTTTTCTGTCCGTGGAAATTTTGCTTGAGTGGAATTGGGCACTGATAAACCGTATGAATCGGGCCTATGTTACTAGCAGACGAATTTCTACACAACTGAAGATGTTCTATAATGTTTCAGGGCTCAGCCTCCGCTAAAGAATTTTACAAGCGGCATCACAGATGGACAGAAGGCCTGATATCTGCGGCGAAAGCTGTCGGTTGGGGAGCTAAAGTACTTGTGTAAGTATATGTAACCTATGTAACCTACTGCATGAGTTTCATTTTACCAAACACCGCTGGTTTTCTTCTGTTTTTTTCCGGGTAGAGGTCCAACTAAGGCCATACCTTTTGTAATAACATTCAAAACCTCAATAATTCATGAGGAAAACACAAAGAAAAATCATTAGTGTGTCGTATCTTTATGTGTGATAAAGATTTCCCTTGATTTACATAAATTTTAACTTTAATTTTCTCGACTTGCACAACGTATTTTTTTGAAAATTACTTCGCCATTAATGAACTTACTAGATCGATCGTTTTTGAAGCAATTTAAAACATTCGCAGTACGTGTTTTATCAGACCTAAAGATGCTCGGCTTTGCCTCTTATCTTTATATCTGATAAAACACTGCTGCTCATGTTTCAAATAGTACATAAGGCATTGCCCTTACTGGACTTCTAGGGAGACCATTTTGGAAGTGATAAATCCACGCAGTCAGTGTCGTAGCCCGACGATTTAGTCCCGCTATGCAAATATTTTCGTGTTCATTGAAAAACCAATTGTGAAAACATTCAATTTCTAAAGAAATGAATACGCGGTCAGGTCGGTTCGAGTATGTGAGCTACGCGGTCAGGTCGGTTCGAGTATGTGATATTGCGGAAACTGAGTCTAGTTCCTTCGATATCAATGCAATCTAGTAATCATGATTTTTTTCTGTGTTGGTGTAATGTACTCAGGTGAATATGATGCTTGTGATGTTACTCTGAGTGTATATCAACACCGGGCAAGCTTGAAATGCTCAAGTTCTCAAGATTGAAATTACTAGCCCAATGCTCTGCCAACTAAGCTACGGTGGGAATCGAACCTACGATAATAATTTTGAATTTGCATAGCCAGACTAAATTGTCGGGCTGGCTACGCCACTGCACGCAGTATAAATACAGCAGTTAATCTTCTCTTGTTAATTTCCTCTTGTTCATCAGTTGTATTTGTGTTTTATTTCTAGTGATGCTGCGGATAAAGTGGTGAAAGAGGGAGGCAAATTTGATGAGCTCGTCGTCGCTTCCAAGGAAATTGCTGCGAGTACTGCACAGTTGGTAAGCTTGTGAATTTTCGTTTTTCAAATAACCTCTTTCTCTGCCAATCGATTCGCTCCTCTGCTCCAAGTATTGTTCCTTGCCCTTTTCCTCCCGGTGCACTGCAGTTGTCGTAACATTGTAAATAATTTCGACCGTGATTTAAGGTGGCTGCATCAAGAGTTAAAGCTTCTCCAAGAAGTTCAAGATTATCTGCTTTAACCACGGCATCAAAGTCAGGTAGGCTTCACTTCTTAGAACTGTTGCTTAAAATCACAAATTATATTCTAAGATTTATTGCTATGTTTCTCTAGTTGCTGAGGCAACCGGAAATGTAGTGGCGTCAGCAAAAACTGGCTCTGAGATGATTGAAGATAGCAGTAAGTACACCACAGCCACCTTCAAAACTTTTCAGGGTGGGGTTGCCAAACTGTTTAGGGTGGGGTTGCCAAAAACTACAGTGGCATCCCTTACCCTCAAAGAAACCCCCTATAACTATTCCCTCTGTTTTCCCATAGAGACAGTTCCTGATTATTCCAAACTTACACTAACTCAAGCAAAGAGACTAGAAATGGACTCTCAGGTAACGCCAACTTTAATTTCTTCCTGCAAAGATTATGTCAAACTCACTAAGATATTTATCATGCATGTTTAGGTGCGAGTATTGGAACTAGAAAGTCAACTTGAAAAAGAACGAAAGAGACTTGGTGATCTCAGACGTACACATTATCAACTGGCAGGCGCTAGTGAGGGCTGGGAGGAGGTATGGAAACCTAAACTAACTTTACACTGGATAGCTCACTCAGTTCTAAACTGTTCTTCCTGGGGCGCTTTCCATTTAATGGCCTGACCGGTCAGACCCAAATTCTTTTCTCTGTATCAATGGAAAGATCTGGTCTATGTTTCTCAAATATCTAGCGAAAATGGACCTCATTCTGATGTTATCGAAATTTTCTGGTCAGATAGGTCCGAAGTCCAAATGTTTTGTGTTACATTCAACAATTTGGCCGTTCTGACCGGTCTGGCCGTGTTAATGGAAAGCGCCCCTGTAGATCCAATAAGGATCATCTCTTATTGATCCAGTGTTACTACAAGAGGAAACCTAAACTAAACTAACTTTATACTGGATAGTTCAATCAGTTTTAAACTGTTCTTCCTGGAGGTGCAGTGACGGTCATTCCTTATTGATCCAGTGTTACTACAGGAGGAAGCCTAAACTAAACTAACTTTATACTGGATAGCTCTATCAATTTTAAACTGTTCTTCCTGGAGATCCTATAAGGATCGTTTCTTATTGATACGATCTTACAGTATTACAGAAGGAAACCAAGCCTCAACTAACCTTATTTATACTGCATGGATAGCTTTATTGGTTCTAAACTGTTCTTTCTAGAGGTCCAGTAAGGATCATCTCTTATTGATCCAGTGTTCCTACAGGAGGAAACCGAAACTAAACTCACTTTATTTATACTGGATAGCTCTATAAGTTCTAAACTGTTCTCCCTAGATGTCTAGTAAGGATCGTTTCTTATTAATCTAGTGTTACTACAGGAGGGAACCTAAACTAACTTCCTGGAGATTCAGTAAGGATCGTTTCTTATTGATCCGGTCTTATTACAGAAGGAAACCAAGCCTCATCAACTAACCTTATTTATACTGGATAGCTTTATCAGTTCTAAACTGTTCTTTCTAGAGGTCCAGTAAGGATCATCTCTTATTGATCCAGTATTCCTACAGGAGGAAACCTAAACTAAACTTACTTTATACTGGATAGCTCTATAAGTTCTAAACTGTTCTTCCTAGGGGTCTAGTAAGGATTCTTTCTTATTAATCTAGTGTTACTACAGGAGGAAACCTAAACTAAAACTGTACCACCATCACTCCGTGATTGTGTATATTCCTTTTATTTTTCAGGAAGAATCGAAGTAGAGAAAAAACTCTATCTGGCGTCTGTACAAATTTAGAAACCTAGACAGTAAGAAACTATTGATATTCATTTCATGCACGCGCATACATTTTATATACGTGTTTGTAATTAGTAATTTTATTCGGCCTCGCACAAACATTTTAAACTTTTTACAAGACACAGATACAGGGCCGCAGACAGGGGGCGGGCCCTGAGGTGCTGGGGGCCCCTGGAAATTTTTTATTGGGCCCCAGTCATTTTTGTGGGCAAGATTTTTCTTTTTGGAGGGCTAAGTACCAAAATTTGGTATGAAAAATTGAGATAGATTATGAGAAAATATGAGAAAATATGAGAAAATTTTGAAATAGGGGCCCCTAAAAAAATTGTCCCGGGCCCCCGCCAACCTCTCGGCAGCCCTGCACGGATACCTATATATATTAATTTTATAGGAAAAGTTGAGTTAGTTCTTAATCTTATGTAAAATACATATACATGAAATATATTATTGTTACCTTATTGTAACAACTAAATGGATTATTTAATTGTTGTATATTTTCACATTTGTTGCGGAGTGCATGTGTCTTTATATTCTGTGAATGGAGTTGCATTCTCTGAAATATATGCAGTAATTATAATTTCACATTGTTGGAACCCACTTTCCATCTTTTAATAAAAACCTGGTTTGCAAAGGGGGAGCCATCTACATAACTAAGACAACTAAGGCATATGTTGTTTTTTTCAACAAACAATGTATTGTATTAAGTAATTTACAATGGTCATTTCAGAAAAACATCCATACTTCCTCCACGGAGGAAATTAAATTAACCCTTCTACCCTCTGTGATTACTATTATCAGAAACAACCCTTTCCTCTCTCATTAAGGTAGCAGAAATTTCCCCCATAATATGACGGCACAAGAACCTCTGGAACCAGGGCAAGACACAGACACTGTAAACTATAGTTCCCAAAAAGTAATGTTTGTACTTTATTATAATTTAGGGACCGGTCATTAGTAAAGGGGGGGCAGTGGGTGATAAATACAAAATATTGAACATCTTTTAGAGCCAGGCCAAAAGACCTTTATTTTCAACATGAATTTTTTGCATTATTTGAGTCGAACTGTTTCATATTCTATTGTATAAAATATAACATAATTATAGTAACCTTTTTGTTTTATAATATATTTTCAACTAAAAAATTGGGGCTGCCCCTTGTCACATATTTTTCAGTTTGAGGCCGCCCCCAATTCAGGCAGAAATAGTTTGAGGCCGCCCCCCTTTTCACAGCCCCCTCCCATTGTTAATCAACAACATTGTTACAACTTCCTGGCATATGTATGCTTTTTTTCAGTGTAGATAGTTCAGTGGTGTATATAGTTCAGTGGTGTAGATAGTTCAGTGGTGTAGATAGCTCAGTGGTTCAGACAACTTCGGATTTTCCCGATGTTCGCCCGAAGAACATATTTCTATAAATTATGAAATAATACTTCATATTTAATATATTTGTTGATTTTAAAATGTTTTGCGGACAAAAATTGCTGTGTTTCAATCCTAGTTGGGTCGAACAATATGTGGAAAGCAAAAATAGCGAAGGTAAAGAGATTAAAATTGGATTTAGTGCATATATTTGAAATGTTTTTCATACCACCAAATGGGTAGTCACCACTGCGCATGACTCCTGTGACGTATTCATACGGGACTTCACCACAGAATTTTTGGCGGGAAAATTTGTAAAGACTGAAATGTTTGGAGAAGACAAGATGGCGCAGGTTACTTCGAATCATCAAAGGGCATTTTTGTTCATAAATACCCGCTTATTTTACGTTATAACGACTGGTTAGTTTTGGAAATTATAACTCAATGGACAGGGAAACGATTTTGTAGTAAAGAGAAAAAAGTACGTGCAGTTATTGACTTATAATTTGTTGTGAAAGACGGCCCGAAATTTTGCTACATCGCTGTACTGGTTTATAAAGAATTCCACTGGCAATTCGACCATGGATAAAGAGACAACGTTTGAATGACAGAACAGCCTGTCTTAATGGTAAGTTTTTAAAGGGTTTTCGGTAATATTTTTAAGAGTCTTTTAAGTTTTTTGGTCTACGTACTCTGAAAGCCCGTGAAAGGGACGAAGACGCAGCTATACTTCGGTAGTATTTTTAAAGGTGAAGTCCGTTCTGCGCATACAATACAATACAAATTTATTAACTCGTCCAGAAAAATGTTAGTGTCAATATATCATATTTTACAAATATAGCAGTTTAAAATGGGCCATTGCATTTTTTATCTTGAGGACATGTGGAATTTCCAATGGCCCCCTGCAAAAGTGAACCAAAAGTGAAGGAATTTCCATGGGAGGGTCCAAATTTTAAAGCAAATCTGCGGAAATTCCAAAGGGTAGGTAAGAAAAATTAGTAAAACGTATGGAATTTCCATGGGAAGGTCAACAATGGAAAAGAAATTCCAAAGGATAGGATCAAAATCAGCAAGGAATTTTCCAAGGGATAGCTACTAATCAAAGAATAAATATGGAATTTCCACTGGCTAGATCAAAAACTGTCAAGGAATTTCTGTGGGATGGGTTAAAAGTTCATAAAAAATTTGCGGAAATTCCATGGGGATGGCTAAAATTCAATAAAAATCTGCGGAAATTCCACGGGGGAGGCAAAAAATCCGCTTAAAAAATGTGGAAATTCCAGGGGAGGGGGGACCAAAAAATGGATGTCCTCAATAGGGGGGGGGTTTGGTTTAAAAATGCAATGGCCCAATGTAAACAAAGTGTTTACATAAGCATCTTTAAAGACCATATCAAGTCCGTATGAATGTATTAAACAAATCCTTTAATGTTTATTATGTTTTAATATCTGTGGGTTTCTCCTTTGATATTAAAGAGCAGAACTGATGCGCAGAACGGATTTGACATGGTTACTTCGGTGGAGTCGTAGACAAATTAGGCTATTTCATTTAATATCTGTACCTGTGACTCTGTCAAGGATACATGTTTGTCATAGTTTAATACTGTATACCGTTGAAGAATTCCAAGCTCAAAACCCTTTACCCCTGAAGGAATCCAGGGATCTTCAACAGGGATGGGGTACGGATAGTAACTGGAATAGCCCATTCGGCTAATGCACCAATCAATGTTATGCCCGACCCTAGGGAGGGAGGGCAAACCCAGGGGCGTTTATGACGCTCGAAAGCGGACAAAATTAATTTTCCGAAATATATATGACGTCAATATCAATTATAATATAGCATTTGTAAATTCTGAACGCTGATTGGCTAAGAGCCGTGTTGATATAACTCCATGTCAACACGGGAAATTTTCCGCCGCTTGTAACACGGAAATTGTTCTTATTCTTCGGGCTTTTGACATTGCTATATTATAAAACAAATATAAAACATTTTTTCCGTATTGATATATAGTTATATCAACACTCGTGGAAGTTGGGAAAATTCGAAATTGTGTGAAAACACTTCGGGCGTCGTGTTTCCACACAATTTCTCGTTTTCCCAATTTCCACTCGTGTTGATATAACTGTATATCAACACGGAAAATGTTTTATATTTGTTAAATATAAAACAACAATAAAAATATAGTAGTAAATACAAATTTACGTAAAATGTACATGTTTCGGCGAACAAAACTGCTTGAAATTCTTGTCAAAGTTGACAGCCGAAATTCCCTTCGGTCGCCATTCGATATTCGTCTTGTCCTTGCGTAAAAACATTGAATTTTAGACTTGCTCTTCGCTATATTTACTTTAAATTACTAGATAAATTGTTAGATAGAATACTCAGGATGTTTTAGAGCTAAATTTATGTTAACTTTTGTCATTATAGTGAAAAGAAATATTCAGTTCTCAACCTCGTGGGTCAATGTCATGGAAGCGAAGTTGATTCAGTAAAATCGCTTTCTTGCTCGAAATTTTAAAGCAAAATTAAACAAGAAATGTTGAAGTCTCTACCTCAATTCAAACTGAGAAGGTATGTATATATTCTTCTGTTATATTTATGTAAAATGCATGGCCATATTTTTAGCGAGATAATATATCACACGCCTGGCAAAAAGTAGTCCAAAATCGCCAGAGGTGTTGTAACTTTTTAAATTTTCATCCTGATTGTACAAAATTTTCCATAAGCATAGAACATATCATTCTTACAAATCGTGTCGTTTTTGTTTTTGGATTTTTTATTTTTTGGCGGGAAAATGACGTCACAAACTTGGCGCCAAAAATTTAAAAATTAGCAATGACTAATATTATTTATTTATTTGGAAGACCATGCTGTAGCAATCTTGAAACTGAAGTAAAGATAGAGTGATTCAAATTTCGAAAAATCCGCCATTTTGTTCTATTTTTAGTAACAAAATGGCCGATTTTTTGAACTTTGAACCAGTCTATCTTTGCAGCGAATTGCCGTATTTCGAAACAGACTTCAGTTTCAAGATTGCTGCAGCATTACAAAACAAAACAAAACAATAAACAAAAAGCATGGTCTTCTAAATAAATAAATAATATTAGTCATTGCTAAATTTTAAATTTTTGGCGCCAAGTTTGTGACGTCATTTTCCCGCCAAAAAATAAAAAATCCAAAAACAAAAACGACACGATTTGTAAGAATGATATGTTCTATGTTTATGTCGAGGCGTGTCACTTGCTCGAAACGACTTCAAATGCCGAAGTTGACGAGCGCAACTCGCTTTGCCCGTTCGATGTGCTGTCATTGTCATTGAATTACAGAATTTAGCCTCGGCTTTTTGATAATTCAACCCTTGTAAATATTTGTCGTTTTTGCGAAAATAATTGATACAATCATACAACGCAATTAAATAAACTATGCATATTAAATTAATAAGAGGGGAACCATTAGAAATGTGATGGGGAAGAGGGGGGGAGGAGACTTTTTCAACTTGTACGAATTTTTTTTTTAAATATTTTTTTTTTAAATATTTTTTTGTTTGTGTCGATAATTTTCTTAGATATAATCCCTTGCACGATTTTTTTTATTTCAACTTATAATTTTCCCTGTTGAAATGTCCTTTCACGAAGTTTTTTTTTCAAACTGTTTTAGTACACGATATATTTTCTTTCTGTTTCCCCTGTGCAATTTTTAATTTTGCTACCCCCCTCCCCATCACTTTTCTAATGGTCCGTCCCTAAATACCGGTATTCCTTATTTTAATATGTACTTTTTGTTTGTGGAAACACCACGTGAATTTATACTGCAGCAGGAATAAATTTACGTGGTGTTTCCACAAACAAAAAGTATTATGTTTTATCGCCATGGACACCATGCAAACCTACAAAGAACTTTATATTCCTTATTTTATTCTACTGTATTAAAAATGGTGGCATACTGTACTAATTTGATTTGTTATTAATATCTTTCTATAAACCAGAGTATTATTTAAACCAGAGTAGCGAGCAAAACATGAATATCTTTCTAATTTTATTTTCAGGCTGAGTGGATCAAAATTGAAATGTGTGTCGCTGGAAAACCACTATACCCCTGCACATTGGATACTCAAATTGTAAAGCGAATTCAAAGATAAAAATGTTCAATTCTCAACTTCAAGAGAAAGCCTGGTCTAAGGTATGTTCTTTCTATTTTATGTAAAATATTTGGAAAACAGGCATTTTCTTAAAACAATCCAGATTTTGAAAAATAATTTGAAAGAAAGACCACAGCCCACATGCAATAATTGGACAAATTGCCTCTTTCCGAGCAAAAATATTTAATTTTTGGATTGTTTCACATTAAGGAGTGTTCATTATTTATGGTTGGGTGGTGGGGGGGATCATAGGGGGAGGGGGAGTGTTTGTTTTTGGGGGTCACCAAAGTTTGAGGAGTAATTGAGAGGGGGTCATGAAAGTTTTAGTTCTGGCAATGTTTTGACCTTAAAATATGTTATTATAGAACATGAAAATTTTGAATTATTACATGGCTACAAGTTTACAGTGCGTCTATTGTAAGTGGGGCCACTAGCGCCACTTAGATAACACTAACCAATCACATTGCAGAACAAAAATAGAAATCTAATAAACTAAAGCTTGTCCAATCGAAAGAAAGCATGGAGTTCGCTTCAGGAAGCCAGTAACTGCAATGTTTAATTTTGAAGTCTATTTTTACCTTTTGACATTTGTTCAAATTGTTTTTGGCCTAATGCTGATTGGCTAATGTGCCGTTTGTTGATTATTTCTATTTTTGTTCTGTAATGTGATTGGTTAGTGTTCTCTAAGTGGCCCCACTTACTGTAGATGCACTGTAATAGGCCCTTTCAAGGTTAATTAAATACAATAGTGCAAGAGGTGTACTGTTTGTTTTTGGGTGTACTATTTGTCTGTGTTGGGTGGCTGGGAGTGTTAGCAGGTATGTTGGGATATCTATGGGTTAACTGGCCTATCTGCCCATGTGTCTAGTTAATGAGTTAATCAATTAATCTTATTCATCTTAGACAACAGCAATTGAACTATGTGACAGGAACTGTTACCAATGACTACAAGCCATTATCGAGTCTATCTTTGGACAACCAAAAACATTTCTCCAACATGTTGTCATTCTTGGACGTGTTAGTTCATTTGGATTTGCAGATGAAGTCCTTAAAAGGTCAATTTAATTAGTTTGTATCATATTAACTAATGACTATTATACTGTACAAATGATATGAAAATTTTCCTCCAGTGATCCCCCTTTGGCACTGTGCCCCCCCTCCTCCTGCCTCTATGTTTTCCAAGTCAGCTTCCAAAAATAAAGAAATATACTCAAATTGTTGTGGGTAGCCAAAAAAATTTCTTAATTAAATCAAATTAGGGTTTCTTCAGGGATTTTTAGGGCTGCCCCAAAAACTCAATCTTGAATTGAGTTTTGAAACTTGATCTTCTGACCAAAAGTTTCATTGTAGTAAAAATGAAGTTGCTTGAGTTTAATACATTTGTGACATGTGGAGATTAGTTTTCACTTTTCAGTTGGAAACCCGACAATTTCTTAAAAATTTCCTGTGTCCCTTCACATTTTACAAAAAATTTAAAGAATCCCACCGTGGCCGGGCATATTTTTCAAGCTCGCCCGATGTGGATATACACTCAGAGTAACATCACAAACATATTATTCACCTGAGTACACAACAACCACACAGAAAAAAATTTAAAGCATGTTTTTATCAGTCGAAAGTAATTGTTTTGATGAGAGATGTGTTTCTTGACACTTTTGAACAGGGTTCGTACAAAACTTGAAAGTCCTTGAATGTCCTTGAATTTGAAAACAAAAATTCAAGGCCTTGAATGTCCTGGAATTTGTAAAGAAGTACTTGAATGTCCTGGAATTCTTCTTGCTTTAGTTTATGGATACTTTCTGAAATTGTTTGACATTCAAGATGGACATTTTGTTGAACTGATTTTGCATGTTCGTATCTCACCTCATTATAAAGTTACGGTTTGAACAATTCAACGTCAGGTTTTGCTGATTTCTAACGCCTTCTTCTTCAGTATTTAGTCCTTGAATTTGCTCATACATGGCCTTGAATGTCGGATTTTACTACATCCCGGGCGTTCTTTGTCAGTGCCCGCGATCACAATTAGAATTACCAGCGGTTGAGTTCGCAACTCAATATTCAAACATTTTCAACCAGATAAAAAAAGATTAAAACTTTTTTAAAGCACTTTAAATTTTATACCGATCCCAAACACTAACCGGCCTAACTTTTAAGAGTTAAAAAAGGAAGGAAGAAAAAAATTACAAAAAATTGAGAAAAAGAGCTAAATCAGATAATAAATGTTCGGCATCGATCCCGACCCCGACTGCGTTTCACTTTCGGTACGCAACGCCTTTACCACTTGAGCTAACGACAAACTTGGTGAAAATTACCGCAAACAAAAGTTTTTATATTGCTACAAAATGCGAAATAACTCCCGTCTGTCCAGTCACTTGGTTATTTTTTATTTGAGCTGCTATAAATGTTACTAGCTCATATAAGATCTGTGAAACTAGTGCTAAAACATAAACAGTTTTGTCAAAAAATTAAAAGGCAATATGTTTGGATCAAATAAACTGACTAGAAGCAAACTGATATCTTGAAATATAGATTAACATGCTGACAAACTGTTACAGTTTAATCAGGTTATAAATTCACATCGAGTATTATATAATTTATATTTGGCTTTTAAGATGTTTTCTTTCAAACATTGTGATTTCAGGAAACACTCGATGTTATCATCATATACCGCTGATAATACTAATTGTGATCGCGGGCACTGACAAAGAACGCCCGGGATGTAGTAAAATCCTTGAATGTCCTTGAAAAGTCCTTGAATTTGACAATTCCTGACATGTACGAACCCTGTTTCAAGAAGTTTGAAATAGTTTGGGGCACTTTTTGAATTTTTGAGAAATTTCCTGAGAAATTTTAAGGCAATTTGAATCCTATTGGCATACAAAATTGTTATTTAGAATTTACAATTTCTATGCTGCATCCAATCTATTGACCAATCGGGGGATGCTTTTGTAAATACCCACGTACCCAAATATTCAGAAGTCTTTATTTTTATGCTAAAACAGAAACATCCCAGAGAATAAATTAATAAAATTATATTCAAATTTAGGGTGTGTTGCAGCTGTATATTTTGTCTCTGCCTTGTGTGGTCCTCGCCTGTTTGTGAAAAAAAAAGTACTTTAAAGATCAAGCTACAACGCTTAAATAAAGGAAAGCACAAACACCGAAGTTAAAGACATGATTAAGGTATGTTTTATCAATTTGATGTGAAATGTTGATAAATTTCGTGAGTTAAAGTGGTTGAAACTGCTTGTCGAATTTGACGATCGCAAGTCGCTTTGTGTTCAACATTTTGTGGTGGTTTATATAGATACTGAATTCAGTGGTGTAACAGAGGTATATTTGGCATATTTGGTGTGGGGGGCCTGTTAACTGTTGTTATTGTTTGACTGAGATGTTATATTTATAGCTATATTTCCCTCTCTATAACAATCACAGCTACAACACAACTAAGGAGCCAATTATCTGGAGCACTTTCAACCCAGGGGTTGTTGAATTTTTTGTGATTACATGGATGATTTTGACGCCAGGTTTGATTCCCGGAACTACAAAAATGGCTCCATAACCTCCATTTTGTTTTCTTGTAATAAATAGTCACTACCACACATGCTCGAGCGAGTAACTGATTAAAATTTTCAGCCCCAGGTTGAAACAATTGCATGACAAAATTTTCAACTCAGGGCCGAGTTTTCCCTGCTGGCAGTGGTCTCTATTGGTAGAGACCTCTACCAGCAAAGAGGGTTGAATTTCAACCCCGGGGTTGATAATAATATATGTAATGTAATTGTGTGTTTGGTTTTTTTGAAGTTTTGTATTACAACACAGGGATGAAATTTCAATCCAGTCAACAGAGCTGGGTTCAACCACGGGGTTGAAAATGCTCCATGTAATCGGCTTCTAATAAGAATAAGAATACCGTTTGTTTTATTTGAGATGGAATAACAAATTCAGTTTATTATTTAGCATTATTAATTTTGCATTTTCCCATCAATTCTTAACCTGCATTTTTACATCTTCTCATTTTCTGGGCGACGGGTCATGGCTGTGTGTGTGGGGGGGGGGGGGGCTTAACTGTCGGCCCCTAATTTGAATTAACCCTGCCTAATACCTCAACGTTTCGTGAAGTTTAGTTCAAATTAGCAGAGATGAGTGCATAAAGTATTTAGGATATTTTGAAGCTAAATTTGTTTTTAAAATTGTCATTTTAGTGAATACAAGAAATGTTGAATAGTCTGCTGCAAGGAGACATCGGGCATTGTAATGAATGGATGATAATGTGAGTCGCTGGCAAACCTACAGCCCTTACTGCGATAGGCAGTCAAGTATTTTTAACCTGCACATTTTTGTTTTTATTTCCCCTATTTTATTTTATGTTCATAAATATCATGACTCATGACTTTTAATGTTGGAAGGAGTTGAGAGTCCCCACTCAACTGCATGCCTTCTGAATAATAATTATAGACTCCATTTTACATGCTACCATTTTACCTGTGAGAATTTTTTGAGATTTGAAAGCTATTGCTTTCAACTATATAGAGCCCAACTATATGTCATTTGCTCTGGGAATAAATGGGTGT